AATAGAAACACTATAAAGAGAATTAATACTAGTACTCTGGAAATTTTTTCATACCTGTTCATGTATCAAATGAACCATACTACAATTTAATTTTAAAATTGAATGATTTTGTTAGAGATCTGAAGTGTTTTGATCTGTGTTGCTTACATTAGCCAAAGAATAAGTAAGCTTCTCTGTTTGAAAATTTGTCTGTTCCCTGTTGTTGTTCTTGTCATTATTAGGTCACCTGAGTAAACTCAGGTGACCTATTGCTATCCGTTTTCGTCTGTCGTCGTGCGTCGTGCGGTGTGCGTCGTGTGTTAACATTTGAACATTTTCAGCTTCTTCTCTGCAACCGCTCAACCAATTTCATCCAATTTTGGCATAAAGCATCTATGGGTGAAGGGGAACAGAAATTGTGAATTTCATGGTCCCTGCCCCCCTGGGGCCTGAGGGGTGGGGCCAAAACCACTAAAATTAGTGCAATCTTTAAAAATCTTCTTCTTTAATTTACTCCTGGACATCAAGCAGTCTAACTGTTGGCATGATTGTAATGAGCATTGAGTCCTCTACCAAAATTGTGAAATTCATGGCCCCAGGGTCAGGGGTTCTAGTACTAGGGTGGGGCTATATAGATTATATAGTGAAAATGCATTATTTCTTTGAAAATCTTCTTCTCTGCTCCTGGGTATTAAAAAAACCAACTAAGTACATAATTATGATAACCAAGAGTGCCTCTTCCAAAATTGTGAATTTTATGGCCCCAGGGTCAGGGGTTGTGGTAATAGGGCGTGGCTCTATTGATTATATAGTGAAAATGCATTCATTCTTTTGAAAATCTTCTTCTCTGCTTCTGGGTATTAAATGAACAAACTAAGTACATAGTTATGATGAGCAAGAGTGCCTCTTCCAAAATTGTGAATTTTATGGCCCTAGGGTAATGGGTTGTGGTGTTAGGGCGGGGCTCTATTGATTATACAGTGAAAATGCATTAATTCTTCAAAAATCATCTTCTCTGCTTCTTGATATTAAATAATTGAACTAAGTTCATAGTTATTATGAGCAAGAGTGTCTCTTCCAAAATTGTGAATTTTATGGCCCCAGGGTCAGGGGTTCTGGTGTTAGGGTAGGGCTCTATTGATTATATAATGAAAATGCATTTATTCTTTGAAAATCTTCTTCTCTGCTTCTGGGTATTAAATAGACTAACTAAGTTCATAGTTATGATGAGCAAGAGCGCCTCTTCCAAAATTATGAATTTTATGGCCCCAGGGTCAGGGGTTCTAGGGCTAGGGATGGGTTCTATTAATTAAAGAGTGAAAATGCATAATTTATTCTCTGAAAGTCTTCTCTGCTTCTGGGTATTAAATAAACAAACTAAGTACATAGTTATGATGAGCAAGAGTGCCTCTTCCAAATTTTTGAATTTTATGCCCCCAGAGTCAGGGGTTCTGGTGTTAGGGCGGGGCTCTATTGATAATATAGTGAAAATAAATTAATTCTTTGAAAATCTTTTCCTTTGCTCCTGGGTTTTATGCCAATGATCCAAGTATGTATATTTATAAAGAAGAAAGGTGCATCTAGCAAAATGGTTATTTTTTATGCCCCCTGGGTCGGGGGGGGGGGGGTGTTACAAAGTCTGAAAATAAATTAATGCTTTGAAATCTGCTCATTGGTATTAATCAACAATTTTATGATAAAATTTGCAAAATTTGGAAATACCAGGTATGTGGCCCCAGGGCCAGTGGTTCCTTTGAAGTGAGGTGCAAAACTGGTTATAAAGTGGAAGTGCATTTTCTCTTGTTACTCTGATATACCGCCTTGTATACACGGGGGTTTAAAAAAAAGAATCTTGGTAAAATTTTATTTTAAAAACAATTGAGATACTGAGTAGACAAATAAAACATGACTTCATAAAATATTTGCTTTTAATCTCAACGGCTATATTGTATTTTAAGCGATATGTCGTCCAAGATACCTGCTCTGTAGAATTTAGACCAGTCTGTGCACAGAAACGCTATTTGCCAATTAAAATTGGAATATGAAAAATAGGAAAAGATATTTAGTACAAACGGCACGGATAAAAAAAGATCCTTTATCCGATGTTTTACCTACTTATATTTGAATACAATCTATACCATGTTCCGTTGTAAAGTTCTGAAATGTCAGAAACAGCTGTCGAGTTTCGAGATTGTAAATTTTAGTTCGAATTTCCTAACATCTGTCAATACCCAATATTCGAAATTAAAAATGAATATATATATACACAGCCAAAGATCAATTCTTAAAAGTAATAAAAAAAAATATCTCGCAAACAATAAAAAATTTTAATCACACGTACGAACACCCGGAAATGGTGAATATTTTCGACACTATTGTTGATCAGAACGTAGGCAATATTCCTATCGCGGTACGGTACATTGTATATGTTCACACGACGGATAGGCCTACCTATGAATGGAATATTTTATAATTTTTATTTTTAAATTTTGATATTTACACAAGTTTAATTTAAAAAAGATATGTTTACTTTGTAGTTTTACTCTGTGTTCTTTTCTTTAATTTGTCATTTTTTTAAATATAAAAACGATATTTCTTTATATTTTTTCTTCATTAGATATCGCTGAAAGTATTTATAAATAAACTTTATATTGAAATATTTCAATTATTTCAAGTAGTTTCACTCAAATTTAGACACGAAACACGGAATGTTGACCCTGATACCAGACACAGATCTAGACTTCCTGTGTAATGCTACGTGTATTTAGATTTTTGACATCTTGGGTATTGGGGGTCTCCAGGTAAATAACACCACTGTTACTTGGACCACTCCCCCTCCTCAGGTAACCGTACGGTAAAAAAGTTGGGTCTTTAAGTAAATAGAGTAAGCATGCAAAGTTTATACATGTAGTTATGATAAGCAATGGTGCCTCTTTCAAAATTGTGAATTTCATGGCCTCTGGTTTAAAACACAAACCAAAGGTAATTGTTTGAAAGTTGTTACACATTACTCAGGTGACCTATAAGGCCCGTGGGCCTCTTGTTTTAAAAGTTAACACATTTTTATCATCTTCTCTGAAATCACTTGGACAAATTTCAAGCAAACAAACCATAAAACAATCTTAGTTGAAAGGGGATTCAATTACAACAAAAATGAACCTCTGGACCAGACAAGATGAACTTTTCTGAAAACTTCATTACATAATGAAAAATTAAATTTGTTCAAGTCATGATTCCAAAGAATAGGGACGTAGGACCACATTGTGCAATCAAAGTTAAATGGAGGAATATAGAAGGGGAAAAATATTCCCAAGAACAACAAACTCAGGCATGATTTCTAGTTATACTGATATAGAAGCATTCTAAAATTGTCTTGTTGTGATTCAAATTTTTTTCAAATCATGACCCCTGGGGATAGGTTTGGGCAACAATTAGGCAAAGGTTCATACAGGAAAGTGTAGTAGATAATCTTGAAACCATTCTTTTCAAGGACAGTAAAGTCAGTAAAGGCATGATTAGTCAGATCGACATTGAAGCATCCTCACTTAGTGAAGATTCATTTTTGTTCAAATCATGACCCCCAGGGGTAGGATGGGGGCTGCAACAGGTGATCAACATTTTACAAAAGAATATATGGGGAATGAATCTCCTCAGCAAGGCCTTTATCACTCATTTGAGTATCTGCAGTCCATGGGCCTCTTTTTATACCTTGTTTTTTTTCTTTTTCAGACAAGGTTAATGAGTTGGAGCAGCGAGTTACTATTCTCCAAAACAGGTGTGTAAAGGAAATAATTATTAATCAGTGTATGAATGTTCCATCATTCTTTTGTATATTTATATACTTGTAAAGGAGAGAAAGACATAGGAATCATTTTACATGACAAGGCTGTACATTCAATCACACTTATATTTTGTTTTTGGGGTACCTTTCCAGCAATTTGATGTTTTATATAAGAATTATAAAAATATAAAAAAAAATTAACAAGATACTTTTAGAAACATTGCAATTATTTTAAAGTAACGTTTACCAATTTCAATATACCCTGAAATACACAGTACAGTTATGTTGGTGACTGTACTGAATTGATAGTGGATGTGATTTCCTAATATTCTTTTAAAATAATAAAAAAGGAAAGTCTATTAAATCTGTTTTCAGCGCTGGTAAAGTACCTTTTGATAAAAGTCAGAAATGCAAACTTTAAATTGTTGGAAATGAAAATTATAAACACATGATAAAGTGTCAGAAATGAAATGCTGAATATTTTGAAATTTTTGAAAGTGATATGCAGCTCTCAGAGTGAACTTTTTAACATTAATGTTTATTTCTTTTTTATTCAAACATAAAAGTATTTTAATTGATATGTTAATGTTTATTTATACAGTCATAAATGTATGTTTAAGCAGTAAAATTTTAGTTTATATTTGATAGTATGAGAATTAATGGTTGCAGCTTACATGGGTTTAATTTTTTTTGTCTGCAATAGCTGCCACATTATTTCCCAGACTAACAAAGAACACATTTTATAGTTTGTTTTTCATCTCTTTCTACAGAAGCAACAGTCCTTAAGAAGGAAAGAGACAGCCTTGCATCTCATCACTGAAGATTCTCTACCATGAGTCTTGTGTTGGACAAACTTGACATTACTCGTTAGAGCTCTCGATGAAGTGCTTTACAATATGATACACTGGAAGATGTACCCATTCTGTATACATATACTATTAACCGGTGATAACATGAAAATTTCATTAAGTGTTAGACAGTTGTACATGACACTTAGAAACTTTACTGAAGTTCAGATATAAATAATGTCATTTTTTAGAATTTTTTTTTTTAGAATAAGAATTGGCAGCTGAAAATGTCTATAAAAACCTTACATAAGAAGAACAAATATTTCTGTGATACATCTTCATGTATATATACCGGGTATGCAAGTAAAAAATTGTAAATATATTTTGTAAATTATTTTTGTTGTTCAATGTACAATATTATATATATTTTTGATGATTTTAAAACAATCTATTTGAGTGACATGTCAGTTTTATCAGATTTAAGATACAATCATGCTCCAATATTTTGTGATTGACTATACACATGTGTAGCAGGGATTGGGTACGTCAGCCCTGGTGCTCAGTGGTCAAGCATCTACACAGTTACCGGGAGGTCGCTGGTTCCAGTCCCCGTCTAACCAACATTTTCCTCACATTTTATAATATACACTGTATGTTGCAATATTGAACTGTGGTCATTTTAACTGAACAAAACAATTTTTTCTTGAATGCTGATTATCATTTATATATCTTCATTCACTTTCTACATATTTTTTGTGTTGTTACAAAGTTGTTACTGTTTTTAATCAAATTGTGGTAATTTTCCAGCATATTTTTAGTCATGTTGTTTTTCGTCAAATTTTGATGTAGTGAATTTTTTTCTCAGAGTTGTTTGAGTAGTCAAAGATCTTTATTTGGGTCCTCATAACATTATGTGATGTGTTGAAGACAGAATTTTAAATAAATGTTAAAAAAGGATGTATTCGCTATGACAAAAGAATTTCCCGGAAAAAGTGACATTTAAAAATGAATCTTCGTTTGTTGTTTCCTACCATATATATGTCTAACTTTTTCAAATTTGTATTTTATACCTAATAGTTATTATTTACAACTTTACAATAAACCTCCAAAGTTGGCCAAAACACCATTTTGTCCGTTAAAGTGTTGATTTTTGCATGTATTTTGGCCTAGAAGTCCTGCAGGGCAGGCCTGCCCCTAAATAAAACTGTGATATTTTGATAGGTTTGGATAGAAAGAATAATTTAAGATAGGAATATTTTAGGGGCACCCCTGCCATAGGGTCAAAATTCACAAAAAAACCTACAAAAAATAAGGAGACCTGATTTTGAAAATCTGCTTCAAATTTATACCTCTTATTATTAAAGTCAGACTAGCTCAGTTGATGTGTGCGTTGATTTTTACAACGTGGAAGCTTTCTTTTTAAAGTCGGGGGTTCGAATCCACCTGGTACCACACTTTTAAAGTTTTTATAAATTTTTCGCCTTTTCAAAGACTATTTTTATTTTTTTATACACTTGTGCATTTTTTTTCAATTATCTATCCTTTTTGCATGCCTATTGTTGATATAAGAAACACTAAAGAGAAATCAGATCGTAACAATCCAATGTAAAGTTGTCAGTTAGGCGGAACAATGTAAGCACACTTTCTCTGAGGACACGAAAAGCACACTTTGTGTTACTCGATACAGGTATTTTTGGCAGCATTGAGCTACGATGAATTTCATTAGTATATTCCTTAGAATTTAATTACATTGACTTTGGCTACATATATCAGTAACTGATTTCCTTGGATTTCATTTAGGCCTGTATAATTTGCACACATTAATGGCATGTTTTATAATATCCATGGATAAATAGCCTAGCAAAAAGAATAGAATTTCAGAGACAGTAGACGTTACCATTATGCACAATGAGAAGTAAAGAAAAATATCAATTATAACATTTGGAGATAACAAACTCAGAAAATCAATGAAAGGGTTCCTCCTATCTCTACTCACTGAAATAAAGATTTAGGAAAAACAAATTGTTATGTGTATTCAGCCTAATGTCATTAATCAGAACGGAAATCAACAAGCTTTTTGTAGAGAATAAAACCAAGCTCGGTCCTATAGGTCAGATCCCTATTTATAATGAAGTGATCCTTTATATTATTGAAAAAATGCCTGAGCTTTAATTATATCCTCTTACAAAAATCTAGGAACAACATACTGTAACTGTATTACATTTGGTGTGTACAATATTTGGTGGGAATTGATTTTTGAACAAGTTAACATATATTTGATTTGGCACATTTAATTTCTTAATGTTATATGTGCAAGACATTTAGCCTTGTACTTGAATAAGTGGACGTTTCTTTCCACCAAAGGTGATAAAAAGAATACACAGCCAAATGTAATATGTTTACACTAATCCCTACTAGATCAAAAGTGATGATAATTGACTTGTTTAATTATAGCTCCATCCTCAAGCAAGTCATACAATTTCAAGTGTGGAAAATAATCTTTTCACAAATAGACATAAGTAAAGATGGAAATACAGCATTGAATAATAGATTAAAACATGAAAAAAATAATGCCAATAGCGGTGTTTATTATTATCCATACTTCAGGTGCCTGTGCAAATAGGTGCACCTTTAAGATATGGACCATCAAAAAATAATATCTTTGTAAGACTTTGAACTTGGCAGCAGGCCTCAGTGATAAAAGTGTTGCATTAATCATTTATCATGGTTATCCTTCAAAGATTTGATAATAATGGAGGTGTTGTAATGATTTACAATTCGCCCCTCCAACGTTTTTAATACTATGGATTGAAAGGAAGGGAAAATAAATAGTCCTTGAGCAGATGTGGTAATGGTAGTTTCATGATTTTAGAAGGGTCCACTACACTCAGAATAGTGTATTTGCACATACACTGAAGATTTAACACTTTTGGTAGCTGAAGTATTCGAATTTTTCTGTCCCAGCATGCAATGGCTACCTGTTCTCCTGTAGCAGTGATGGACAGGCATGTCACATTGGGTACAATGGACCCTAAATTAGCGGAAACGTCCATAAAATCTGGACAAGTCACACTCAGATTAATCTCAAACAATGAACAAAGTTCATCAGCATCAAGGACTTTGATTCTTAAGTTAAAGAGGGAGGTCACAATACAGTTAGCATCATATGAGTACTTGAGACAGTCCACAAAACTTCCAAGATCGTCTGAGCAGCCAAGCTTCTTTTTTTCATGGGTATTTATTCTGTATAAAATCATGTCATTGGCAGCAACAGCCATGACACAGTGTTGGGATCTGGGGTCAAAGTCAAAAGTAGATGGACCACAGAGTTCAAGGTCAGAGATCACATCTTCAAACACGCTGCAGACCCCCTGGAGTTTCCTCCAATCAATTACAGTTAACTGCCCCCTAGAAAATCCTACAGCAACATGTCGGCTGTCCGGAGACCACTTTATGTCTATTCTCTCGGTCACTGACAGAGATGGAGGCTTAATAGTGGGGTATAGGTCATCAATTTTTATTACAGCTTCAGTATGCAAATAGCTGCATGATCCAAACACGAAAAATGTATAGCAGCTTGCAGAGGTTTTTGCAAGGATTGCATGAAAACTTCCATTTGGTGAAGTGGCATAGTCTTTGTACTGGGTGAGAGAAGGGTCATGGGCCCTTGTTATGATTGGGTTCATTGTTTTGTAAATGACAAAATGTTCACTGATGCTGGATGAGGATAAACAAGTGAATTTGACTCCATCAGGATTTATTTGAAATTTTGGAAATCCTTCACATGTTGCTTGAGGGACTGTGCCACATTCTACAAGAATAAAAACTATTAATTATTTATATTATATTAGTATTGATAAACCATGTATACTCATGCAGATTATCAACATCTATGAGCTTTTGGGGTGAAGAAATAATACTGTTTGTGCACTTATTGAAGCTGGGTTCATATTTTAGCAGCTTTGGCACAGACAACCATGCACTAGTTCATGAATACTGTGAAAATTCATTGATACATGCAATATACGGCATGGACATATGATATGCAGCTCTAATTCATGATTGTTGTGCAAACAACTTCAAAACAATTAAGTGACTGCATTAAATTAAGAATAGGCTATAGTGATATACGAGGGCCGTTCAAAAATTACGCGGACTTGTTGCACAGAAGAAATATTTGACGACATAATCGGCCAAAACTTCACAAATAATATAAAAGAATCTTTACTTATATGGTCTTCAAAATTTCATATCAAAATGTTGTAAATTGGTATTAATTTTGAGTGATTTTTCAAGACATACCATTAAGTCACGGCGCAGAAAAATCTTCGACGTCACAAGCATTATAAAAAATATGTGATTGAACTTTCTTTTTCTCAACATTTTCCCTTGAGTACTTGTATAGTTTGAGTTACCTTATCTACTCAACATCAAAACACCATTTCTTGTCAAGCTTAAAATCTATTAAACAAGTAAAGACTATTCTTTTTTTTTGTTTTAAAACCAAAACTACTTATGAGATACAGTGTGATATTGGTAACTCTCAATCACGTTCTTTACAGTCCGCATAAAGTTAACTTTTCTTCTATAATCTTCTTCCCGTCCTCCGGTATAGCCTTTTTACAGAGGTCTAACTGTCTAAAATTTCAATTTGCTATTTGTGGGCGAATGTCACGAGTAACCTATTTTACTACATATTTTATTATGCACATTTTGGATCTATGTTGCCGATATCTCGAGCATTACACATATTTTAACAAAAGTGTGGT